CGAGCCCCCATGCCAACGGCTACAGCCGCCCAAGCACCGATGACTGCAAGGCAGCCCTGGGAGCTGAGAAAGCCACTTACCTTAATGCAGCCAACTATTGTAGTTGTAAGAGCAGAATTATACTGAGTGCAAAGAACCGTGGAGTACATCAAAATAAACCTGCAGGAGAAAGAGTCGACATCAGGCTCCGGGACACGCTGCGTGCATTGCCATTCACCTCATCAGCTCTTCCCCTCTTTTCGAGAGCGGTATTTATACCCCCACTTTTGTGGCTAAACCTGCACCGAAGCAGGGTAGGAAATAATTTCCACCCCCCATAGCTCTCAGAACCGGTGTCCCTATCGGGGTAAAGATTTATTATCATTTTTTTAACCCAGAATGGCTCAGGCCACCAAAACGCACGACTGTGGGAGCAGAGATGCCTCCCCTGCACCCCAGCCCTCGGAGGCTGGCAGCACCTCCCGCAGCAGCCCGCATCCTTACCCCATCACACACGACAGCGTAAACTGCGCGATGAAGAGCGTGTCTGCCCAGCCCTGGTACTCCATCGCCTGCAAGAAACACAGCCCGATGCTTAGAGGAGGAGGAAGCGCAGTTAAGTCACGGCAAGACAAGAAACCAACCCCTGACACCGGCTTTCACAGCACAGCGGGGAACAACAAAAGAAAAGGCAGCCCAGCGCGGCAGCCTGGGGCTGCGGGAAGGCCGGTTGTCCACATCGGCATCACCTCCAGCCCACAGCAGCACCCAGCGCTCCCCTCCTGGAAAAAAAGCAGGGAGTAACAGTCCTACCCGTGGGAGGAACCATTTCCCAGCTTGCTGCCGGCTAGAATTGCCCCCCTTGCAATTCCTCCATCACAAACCACAACACTTGGCCAGCGCATCCCCGGGGAATTTAACCTCCGGAGACGGCGTTGACAAAACGGCTAAAGGAAGTCTGGATTTCACAGTAGGGCTTTTTTTGTTGGTTTGGTTGGGGTTTTTTTTGGTTTTGTTTTGGTTGTGTTTTTCTTTTTTTTTTTTAAAGTTACACTCCACGCAGCTGAACACGTTTTTGCCAGTTTGCAGGCATGACTCCAAGTCCAAAGCCCCGGCAGCAGGCGATGGTTTGCAGCGGGGACAGGGAGGGAGG